TTTTTTGGTCATTTCCTCTTCCTACGTTAAAAAAACCCATTTTTATTATTAATAGAATTTATAAAATTTAAAAAAATACAAGAAATACTCTAATTTAAATATTCATATTGTTACTTGGCAATTGGGCTTCACATAAAAATCACGAAGGGGTGCTCTCACAAGGCATCTGCGTTCAAGTTGTGATTGATTTGAATGTTTTCTTCTTCTTCTTTTTTTTTTTTAATTAAAAAAACTTAAAAATAAAAGTGAAAATCAAAAATAACCATTGAGAATTTTTTTTTTTTTACTATCTTTCGATATTTAAAAATTACATTAGACCCTAACTAATCTAAAATTGAATCAAGTTGGGTCGGATCTCATACAAAAGAAAATTATCTCAGCGTTTATTTTTTCATTTACAAAACTCAAACTCAAAATCTTATTTTAAAAAAAATCAAATTTCTTTCACTAAAACTAATAATAATTAGTATTGAGAATCTATTAATGCTATCATACACAATTTTTTTTTTTAATTTTACCTAAATTTAAAGTAATTGATAGTATTTTTTAACTTTAAAGATATATAAACATAAATATTTTTTTCCTTCTTCAATTGTATTAGTATCTATTAAGATTAATTCCACACATAGTTATCAAAATCTTTTCTTCATCTTATTTAAGGAAATATAAGAAAAAAAAACATTCCATAAATAATTTAAAAATTCTTAATTTTTGAAAAAAAAAACAGGTTAAAAAGCACTTTTATTATAATGGATTGAGTTAGATAAACAATAATGATTGATACATTTTCTAATTTAATACATTTATTAATATCTATCGATTCAGTCATTAAATTTTATAAATAATTTGTTTAAATTTAATACATTTATTAATATCTATCGATTCAGTCATTAAATTTTATAAATAATTTGTTTAAATTTATATTTAAAAATAATAATTTTTTAATAAATATAATTATAAAATACATTAAATCAAAATATATATCAATTATTATTTTTAGAT